CCTGGGTGGCTCAGTGGGTTAAAGCCTCTGCCTTCGGCTCAGGTCATGATCCCAGGGTCCTGGGATTGAGTCCCGTATCGGGCTCTCTGCTCAGCGGGGAGCCTGCTTCCCCCTCTCTCTCTGCCTGCCTCTCTGCCTACTTGTGATCGCTCTCTCTCTGTGTCAAATAAGTAAATAAAATCTTTTTTTAAGAAAGGCTATTTCTTGTTTTGTCTTTCTTTTTTTCCCTTTATTTTATTTTTATGTTTCTTAAATTCCACATACGAGTGAAATCATGAGGTATCTCTGTCTTTCTCTGACTGACTTATTTCCCTTAGCATGATACTCTCTGGCTCCATCCATGTTGTTGCCAATGGCAAGATTTTGTTCTTTTTTATGGCTGAATAATATGCCATTGTATGTATATAAAAGTCTATTTCTTGGGGCACCTGGGTGGCTCAGTGGGTTAAAGCCTCTGCCTTCGGCTCAGGTCATGATCCCAGGGTCCTGGGATTGAGCCCCGCATCAGGCTCTCTGCTCAGCAGGGAGCCTGCTTCCTCCTCTCTCTCTGCTTGCCTCTCTGCCTACTTGTGATTTCTGTCTGTCAAATAAATAAAAATCTTAAAAAAAAAAAAAAGGAATAAACACACAAGAAAAAGAATAAAGTAGGCAGCTGCAAATGTAACCCTGGTTTGAGGAAGCAAAGGAAATGAAAATTCGAAGAAATCTAGATGTGTTTTGAAGAATGGCTGTAGATAAACATTTCTGTGTTTCCCACTAACTTCAATCTCTTTTACTGTGTGTTAGGACTGCAGTTCATCAGCTAGGGTCACAATAGCACTCTTGGGGAGCTTTGCATAAAGACATGTCCAGGCCCTCAACCAATTCTAATAAAACCAGACTTTCCAAGGAAGCAACTTTGGTAAGATTATATTGAAAATCCCTTCAATAAAAACCTGGCATTTAAGAAATAGCTTGACCGATACAGATGGAAAAGTGTGGTCTCTCCCCAACCTCGCTGTCCATTCGTTTGATGAAGAAATAAATGGATGACCAAGCTGTATTTTCTTCTTGCACAAGGGGGAATGGAAAACAGGCCCTTGACTCAAGCGTGGGACTCCAGTTATCTTGACATCATAAAGATACAGTATTTGTAGGAGCAACTAGTGCACAAAGTATAATGGGAATTCAGAGAAGGAAGGTAATATTCTGTTTTTGTGTAGCATAGACCATCTCATGGAAAGAAAAGTGAAAGAATCTATTATTTGGAAGAACAAACAAAAAATGACATCCTTATCCCTGAGTTCTTATCTTAATTGATGTATCAGCAACTCTCAAGACAATGTTTATGGCTTTGTCTTCTTTTTTTTTAAGATTTTATTTTTTAACATTTTATTTTTAAGATCCTTTTTTTGAAGATTTATTTATTTGATCACAAATAAGCAGAGAGGCAGGCAAAGAGGGGGGTGGGGGAAGCAGGCTCCCTGCTGAGCAGAGAACCCGATGCGGGGCTCGATCCCAGGACCCTGGGATCACGACCTGAGCCGAAGGCAGAGGCTTTAACCCACTGAGCCACCCAGGTGCCCCTATGACTTTGTGTTTAATGAAACACTTGTTCATCATGTTCTCGCTCCCTACCATGTTTGTTACACACTCATCTGTTGATCCCTAATTGTCCAAAGCTCTTGTTTTATCTGGATCTATTCCCCAGAAGAAATGTGGTCCAGATTTCTGTCTCCACATTTAACCTCTCCCTGAACTTTCCAGGTACATCAGACTGTAGCAGAAAGCTCTGCTTGGACACTAACGAGCACATCTAACTTAGAATCTCCATTATAGAACTCCTGACTTCCCAGCCCAAATCTCTTCCACATTATGTTCCCTGTTACAATGAACATTTCCACTCCTGCCAAAATCTCTTAGCATCATCATTCATCTATTTCTTTTTCTTACTCCATGTTATGGATTGAATTTTGTTCCCTAAGGAGATGAATTTTGCTAACCCCCTAGTAACTATGAATGTGACCTTTTTTGGAAATAGTCTTTGTAGATATAATCAAGTTAAGATGAGGTCATGCCAGATTAGGCTGGGCCAATGACTGGTATCTTTATAAGGAAAGGGAGATTTGGACACAGACAAATATGCACAGAAATGACCATATTATTTTGTAGGTTGAGATCAAGCTCTGCATTGGGCTCCAAGCTCAGCAGGAAGTCTACCTGAAGATTCTCTCCCTCTGCCCCTCCCCCCTCTCTAAAATAAATAAATCTTTTTAAAAAAATCTTTTTAAAATAAATAAAAATAAATCTTTTTAAAAAATTCTTAATTCCTATGTACCCACTATCCAGCATCACGACATGGCTTCGTCTCATCAAGATTATTTTTGTGATGACTGGATTTTAAAGTAAACCAGTGATCCTTGGGTTTATATAATCTGATGCTCATTGTAGGACAAGTCTTGATGTCAAAATACCAAGAGCACCTGAATCCACTCAATAAGGGTCCACAAGACCATCACCAGATAAGCCCTTTACAGGTATTTCTTCAATATGCCAGATCTCCTGAAGACTCACTGCCAGTTTTAGGGTTGTTACCTGTTATGATAGGATGGGGAACTGAACTTAAAGGGGCCTGTACTATGTAGTGAGAAGAAATCATGGAAAACTTGATTCTTTTTAATATGGTCTTGACATGTTTTTGCACCAACTCCACACAAGGATAAAGATTCCATAACCAAAGTAGTCTTTTCTCATTGTTATACTTCCCTTGCACCCCAGGCAAGCCATGGCTTGTAAGGAGGGAAGTCAGCGATATGATCACGAGCTACCAGTCTTACATCATAGTGAAATCTTATATCAAATAACAGATTACCAGTGAGTTTGTCAAGTAAGAGGTAGCTTAAACTTCAATTTCACAGGATCATGTAGATACTTTTAATATAGTGATGAAAGTTTAGGTTTAGAATTAAAATTTAACCTGAAGAGAGTTGGCTTTACTAACCCTCATTATAGGATAGCAGTTACTTCCTTGCAAATAGGGTTTGGCTGACAGTGGACAAGGATGAGGAAAGATGAGTCACATGTTTCCCGCCTTTGAAGTGGGGAGGTTCTTCCTCTATGGAGATGCCTTTTTTTTTTTTTTAGTTGTATTTTTAAGTAATCTCCACAACCCAGCATGGGACTCGAACTTATAACCCCAAGATCAAGTTGCATGCTCCACTGACTGAACCAGTCAGGTGCCCCGAAGAGATCCCCTTTAATGTTTTGAACATGGTAAGGGAAGCGGGGGGGGGGGGGGGAAGTACTTAACCCCTATAGGTACAGTGACTTTCTTGTTGGAAAGTGGTTTGGGGTGGGAGCTCATGAGGGACAAGGTCAGTGAAAACTCCTCATTCAATAATACGCTGTTACTGCTCATAGGCAAGAATCTTTTGTCTTCAAAAGAGCAGTGCTCTCGTCAACTTCCCAGGCTTTACCTTTAGGACAATGGAGTTTCCACTCATTCTTGAACAAATCCTTTGAAAATGCAGACAGTAGAACAGTAGTATTCATTTTGCTAACCATTACATCATACTGTAGGTGACATTTCACTATCACCCCTCAAACCCCCAAGACTTTCAAAACTCTTCCATTTGTAAGACTGTTGGTTCCTGGGTTTGGGATAGGAAGTCTCTCAGTGTCCTTGGGATTATTCTTAGCCCCTCTTGTTTTGTTTTTCCCCTCTCATGCAATATTGTACTGCTTAATGTGGGGCAATACCAGCTAATCTACATTGCTTATTGAAAACATGGAGATGGATGATTTGCCCCTTTACAAAGCCTGGTTTGGGCTATGTGACTTGTGAGTATAAAAGACCCCTGAGTAATCTCGTGCCTTGATTTCTCTGAAACTGAGATACTTCACACATATACGTTGGTGACTTATGATTTAGAGACAGATGGTGTTCTGTGACTAAAAGTCCCTGGAATCTGTGCCTGCATGTTGTAGAACACCTTAACGTTTACCTGTGTTTTATTTTTTCTCAGGCTGTATTGTAGCTTTTGTCTTTACCAGAGTCTCATGTTACTATAAGTCATGGAGTCCTGTCCAATACATTGAACCACTTTAAACTGGGTGTTGCAATTTCCCCATGTTAATGTAAACCAATGTGCTTGAAAAGGAAACCTACTTTTGCAAAATAAAACCAAGCTCACTGTATCTTAGAGTTTAATCCCCATTTAAGAAAAATAATTTATGAGATTTTCCAGCCACATTCTAGAGAGGGATTCATAAAAACAGCCCTAAAGTTTCACATAAGCTCTTTGAGAGGGAAGCATACCTTGTACAGTATAGGGGAAATAGAAGCGTACTTTATTTGACTATCAGAACAAGTTACATTGTCCAATCAAGCAGTACCAGGACCAAAGCTAGTATTTAATTTCTGTCTTCTGATATCAGGGATAATCTTGGAAACTGTTAAAGAATTCAAAAGGGTATAAAACTTGTGAATACTCTTTCTCTTCAAACCCTAAATATCTGATCGATTTAAAAGAAAAAAATTCTTTATTACAGATATTTCTACTGTATTTCATCCAACCCAAGATACCTTGGATTGTATGATTGATACACCATTATTTTATGTACTGAATTCTCCATTTAAACCTGTCAAGTCACCAACTGTGTGTCGCATTCTAACTTCACTATTAATTCTGTGGAGAAAGAAAATTCTATCTTGGAATCGATGAAAAAACATTTTACTCAAGGAACGTTCAAAATCTTCCAGGCCCATTTACGAATACCAGGAAATGGGTGACAGGAGATATTCAGTATTTTATTAAGATTTCTTGCTAAAATAATGAACCTTGTAGTTCAATTACAACTTATATAGCACTGTAATGATATAAAGATTCAATGCAGATTATTCTATTGGCAAGTTTTGTGTACTCTGAAGTATGTGTACTAGGGAGTCACAATTGCTATGCTAACACATGCAATTCCCAATTATGAACAATCATTTTAATAAAAATAGACATAAAACATATTATCACATAGTTCTGATATAATATTTGCTTTGTTTTCTGCAAGTATATTTATTGACATACTTAAAATTTTTCATAATGCTGCTTACTATGTCACAACTACAGGAAATGACAACCCTCATAAAATGATAACCATAAAAGATGATACCTCAGATTCATTCAAGTATATAATTTTTTCCTCAGTGTCAAGTCTCTGATATCAGTGTAGCTGGATTTCATGCCAACAACATCCTCACAGTCAATACAGACACACACAGATGTTCTCTCCTATTCATTCCCTCTGGCTACATTCAGTTGACATATATGGAGGAAGGTATTTTCTCCTGTTTGGAATTCTACCCAGTACCATTCTCTCTCTCTCTTTTTAAAATTTATTTGACAGAAAGGCAGTGAGAGAGGGAACACAAGCAGGGGAAGTGGGAGAGGGAGAAGCATGGCCTCCTACTGAGCAGGGTGCCGGATATGGGGCTCAATCCCAGGACCCCGGGATCATGACCTGAGCCAAAGGCAGACACTTAATGACTGAGCCACCCAGGCTCCCCCAGTACCATTCCCTTGTAAGCAATGAGGTGTGAGTCTGGGGTGGGGGGAGTTGTGTCCCCATCTGCAGTCTTAAGGTTTCACTTCTATGTAAACTCTGATATAATCAGTTATTCACTTCAATGACAACTTCTGGATATTTACTTCATTCATGATTTCTCTCCCCTGTGAGTTTTCTGATGTAAAATGAGGCTGAATTTGTGGGAGAACGTTTTCCAACACTCACTGCATCCATAAAGTTTCTCTCCTGTGTGAGTTCTCTGATGTATAGTAAGATGTGACTTCTGGGCGAAGGATTTCTGACATTCACTGCATTCATGGGGTTTCTCTCCTGTATGTGTCTTCTGATGCAAAACGAGGCTAAACTTGATAGGAAACGTTTTCCCACATTCACTGCATCCACAGGGTTTCTCTCCTGTATGGATTCTCTGATGAATAATAAGGCTAAACTTGTGAAAGTTTTCCCACACTGGAGGCATTCATAAGGTTTCTCTCCCGAGTGAATTCTCTGATGAATAAGGAGATAGGATTTCCGGCTGAAGGCTTTGTGGCATTCACTGCATTCATAAGGCTTCTCTCCGGTGTGAGACCTCTGATGAATAGTGAGGTGTGACTTTTGGGTGAAAGCTTTCTGACACTGACTGCATTCATAAGGTTTCTCACCCATATGTGTTCTTTGGTGTAGGATGAGGCTAAACTTGATGGAGAATGTTTTTCCACATTCACTGCACCCACAGGGTTTCTCTCCTGTATGTGTTCTCCGGTGAGTATTGAGGAGTGACTTTACACTAAAGCCTTTTCCACATTCACTGCAATGATAAGGTTTCTCTCCTGTGTGTGTTCTCTGATGTCTAATGAGCTCAGATCTCTGGATGAAGGCTTTTCCACATTCATTGCATCCATAAGGTTTTTCCCCTGTGTGAGTTTTTTTATGTAAAATGAGGCTAGGGGCGCCTGGGTGGCTCAGTGGGTTAAAGCCTCTGCCTTCGGCTCGGGTCATGATCCCAGGGTCCTGGGATCGAGCCCCGCATCGGGCTCTCTGCTCAGCGGGGAGCCTGCTTCCTCCTCTCTCTCTGCCTGTCTCTCTACCTACTTGTGATCTCTATCTGTCAAATGAATAAAAAAAAAAAATCTTTAAAATGAGGCTAAACCTTAGGGGGAATGTTTCCCCACATTTATCACAGCCATAGGGTTTCTCTCCCGTGTGAGATCTCTGATGAATAATGAGCTGTGACTTATCGCTGAAGCTTTTCTGACATACACAACATTCAAACTGTTTCTCTCCTGTGTGAGTTCTCTGATGTTTATTAAGGCATGACTTATCAGTAAAAGCTTTCCCACATTTATTGCATCCATAAGGTTTCTCTCCTGTATGGGTTCTCTGGTGTAAAATGAGATGGGATTTCCGACTAAAGGCTTTCTCACACCTGCTGCAACCATAGGGTTTCTCTCTGGTGTGTGTTCGCTGATGCTTAATGAGGTCTGACTTCTGGGAAAAGGCTTTCCCGCAGTCACAGCAGTTACACTGTTTCTCTCCTGTTTGAGTTTTCCAGTGTTTAATAAGCTGTGGCTTATGGCTGAAAACCTTTAAGTGCTTATTATATTTATTGTATTTTTCTCCAGTATGAATTTTCTCATGCTTAGCATAAAGAAATATTTCATCATAGCCATCATATCCATTAAATTCAACTTCATTTCTTGCATAGCTTTTATTCTGAATAATGTACTCTACATTAGGTTTCAAATGTTTCCCAAGTATGTCAAATGTACGGGATCTTTGTGCTAAAGGGACATCAAAGTTTAGGCTCAGAGACAATATTTTTCTAAATGCGTTATTTTTGTGGTGACTCTCCATAGTTCTAAGGTTGCCTTGATTTTCTTGGTGCCTGTCTATATGACAATCAACTTGCCAGGTGTCTTCTATAAAGGAGACCAATGAGCCACAATGACCATGAAGTAGAAGGAATGGAATCGCATAGCAAAGGCCAAAGAGGAAATGAGGCTGGGGATACAGTGAAAGTCTGAGACATTTCTAAGTGGAAGGAGGAAAAAAATGGAAGAAACTATAGAATGTGGAGACAAGGGACAATTTATGAATGCTGAGTGTATTAGAAAAGAGAGCTATAACCATGGGGATGGATAGGAGAAGGCAGATAAACTGAGGATGCCAGGGAGAAAGATTAGTAGAACAAGTTCCAAGATGAATTAGAATGGGATTAGATCCACATACATAAAAAAGAAATGTATTCTTTTATTTTTTTGAAAACTCTTTTTTGTTTTTTTCAGTAGGCTCCATGCCCAACATGGGGCTTGAACTCACAGCCCTAAACACAATCTACCAAATGAGTCAGCCACGCACTCCCAGAAATGTGTTCTTTTAAAGATGAAGCAAAAGAATCCCAATATGGAGAGATTAAAAAGTGGAGTCAAGCGGAGCCTGGGTGGCTCAGTCGGTTAAGTGTCCGACTCTTGATCTCAGCGCAGATCTTGATCTCAGGGTTGTGAATGGAAGCCCTGTGTTGGGTTCTACCCTGGGCATGGAGCTTACTATTTAAAAAAAAAAAAAAGTGGAAACAGTATTAATGTATGTGGGAACTTATGTCCCCCATGCTGTCACACTCAGAGCTTAAAAATGTCAAGATTTCTCCAAACAATAGATGCCTCCCTGTTTCTGACCAAACAGGAATTTACTTCTATTTATGCCACAGGGTTGGTTTTTCACTCACCTGGATGAATCCGACTCTGGATTTCTTCCTCTGTTATCCATTGTGTTCCATGTTCCAACTGGTAGAATGCATCTGCTTTGGTAACTTGATACCCTACTCAAGGAAAATTATAGCGGATCCATGGACCCAAATACTTAGACAATAGTACCTCTGAAAGACGGGGAAGGTTATATTGAAGGGCCTGAACAATTTGGATCTTAGCCAAATAAAGACCTTTAACTTTGGGTGTGGAAAAAAAAGCATTCTGTTGGAGGCCAAAAGGTACTAAAATCTATGATGTATGAAACTCAAGTTCAAAAAAGTAAGTACTTAAAAGGCTGCACACATTTCATCACTGAGAAAGGAAAGGCAATTAATTGCCTACATTACCCTGGGAAAGCTCTGCTTACCCACTGATATTAGGTTGCTATAATTTTCCAACATCACATCTTGATACAGGATTTTCTGCACAGGGTCCAGTAGCTGCCACTCCTCCCATGTGAAAACCACAGCCACATCCTTGAGTGACAGTGATCCCTGAAACAGAACATTCCTATTCATTTCTAAAGGGATTATCATTGATTAATACTTGAAATATAATATAATAATTTTCCTATGGTCAGTCGTTTGCTTTCTGTGTAATTAGTGTTGCATTATACTTTGTAGGAAAAACTAACTTTTTTTTTTTTTAAAGATTTCATTTATTTATTTGACAGACAGAAATCACAAGTAGGCAGAGAGTCAGAGAGAGAGAGAGGGGGAAGCAGGCTCCATGCTGAGCAGAGAGCCCGATGCGGGGCTCGATCCCAGGACCCCGAGATCATGACCTGAGCTGAAGGCAGAGGCTTTAACCCACTGAGCCACCCAGGCGCCCCGAAAAACTAACTTTTTTATTTAAAATATCCTTTGTGCTTCTAATCATTGTTGTACATGTTCACTCTTTCACAAAAATGAAACAGAACATCCTCAAATTTCTCAATCCAGGAACCATCTACAATCTGTGTGATTGCACCTATAGTCAGACACTGGACTAGATACTCCTTTTTATATAAGATTCTCTCCTACCTTGAAAGAGCATACTAGCTTGCAGAGAGAAGAATGTAAGTACATGAGAGTACAATACATTTATATAGGACAGGAAACAGACATATACCATGTGGGCACCAGTGGGGAGGAGAAAAAACACAACAGCTGAACTTCAGAGAGGGAAGGAGAGAGGGGAATGGAATTCTAGAAAGAAGTAACATGAATGATAGCACAATGAAAGCCATGAGCATTTAAAACACTGCAAATAGATTTCTTCCGAAGTTGTGAAATCATGACTGAATTTAGAGCAGGTAGAGTGCACTAATGAGCACTCAAAAATTTTTTCACTTACTATTTTTGTTACTTAAATGTTGATAGGGATAGACTTCCAAGGTACTGGGTTAAGTGTACTTAGTAAGTTACAGAAAAGTACATAAACTATAACCTCAATTATGACTGTGAGTATTAGGTTCTGTGTGGTAAAGGGTTGACTCAGCAGGCCTGGGTTACCCAAGCTCTGCACACTCCAAGGAAAGGCCTGTCTTCAGGAAAACCGGCCCTCGACTTGGTCCTGGAGATAACCTCTGAAGCACTGTAATATCCAGCCTGCTACAGGTGTTTTCACATTCCCGAGGCCTTGGGTGCTCTTCTAGTTTGAATTTTGGAGACTGAATAGCTGAGGTCAGTCATGTATGCTGAATGCCTGTGTTGACTGACTCCCAATAAAGCCCTGGACACCAAGGTGCACGTGAACTTCCCTGGATGGCAATACTTCCCACCTGTGTTGCTACCGTTACACACCATCGCTGGGAGAATGAAATGCTATTCGAGCCACTCTGTGGGGTGAGGACAACTGGAAACTGGTGCCTGGTCTCTCCTGACTCTACTTGGTGTTTTTTGCCTTTGTTGATTTTAATATGTATCTTTTCAGTATAATCATCTGTAACTGTAAAAGCTTTTTTTGAGTTCTTTTAGAGAATCATTGAAACTGAGGGTGGCCCAAGGATCCACAACTCAAATATATACAAATTCACAGACCCATACGTAAATGCTGACACAGGAAGTCAAAAGGCTACACCTAAGTTTTTGTATAGTTTATCCTGAGGATGGTGAAAAAGGATTAATGGGGAACTTAAGTGCTTAGCTCTAGAAACTTCTGTACTGTTTGAAATTTTGACACAGAATACTTTAAGCTTTACTAATGCAATTGGAATTTAAAATTTTTTAATTTGGGGGGAATTTTTTTAAAATAGAAGAATTGGATTATGAACTGAGATTATGAAGGAAATATTCTAAGACTTTGCTAATAGATGTAACTTGGAAATGTTCACTAATATAAATTGGGGTTTCTCAACCTCAACCCTACTGATATTTTGGGCTGGATAACTTTTCACAGTGGAGGCCTGTATTGTGTGTTGTGGGATGTTTAGCAGCATCCCTGGCCTCTATTTACTAGATACTGTTAGCAGTTATGATAATAAAAAATATCTCTGGACACTGTCAAATGTCCCCTGGGCAGATAAAAATCATTCCGAATGGAAAACCACTAATTTAAAGAAAAAACAACTTTGAGGGCTGTTGGTGGAAGAACAAATGATGATGGTCTTAGAATCCATCCATTTTTCTTGATAATCTAGGTGTTATCCCCGGATAAAGTCAGAGCACCAGGAGCCTATGGACTTGAGCTACACTGTTTTGAAACCCTGAAGCACTCTGATCACTGAGTTTGGCTTTGATATAACAACACGGGCTTTTCTGATGATGGCTGAGAAATAACCAGAGGGAATATACCACTTTTTTTTTTTTTTTTTTAAGATTTTATTTATTTATTTGACAGAGAGATCACAAGCAGGCAGAGAGGCAGGCAGAGAGAGAGAGGAGGAAGCAGGCTCCCCGCTGAGCAGAGAGCCTGATGCGGGGCTCGATCCCAGGACTCTGAGATCATGACCCGAGCCAAAGGCAGCGGCTTAACCCACTGAGCCACCCAGGCGCCCCGGGAATATACCACTTTATTGGTGGTTTGCTATAGAGGGAACTGAGCATTGAACAGTCTCACTAGTAACCTACCAGAAACATTTCTTCCTACTTACATGACAGGAATGATCTACTTTCCTGAGGAGCTTTCTCCTTAAGGCAAATTGCCAACGAGTTTTTATTGATGGCCAGGTGGGAGATGATTATATTTCCCAAGGATGACCACAACAGTATGTCCCATTCCAAAACCTTCTGCAGTGTGATCTTGTCACTCTCCCATCAAGAGGTAAAGCCTGTTCCCCTCCCCTTGAATCTAGTTTGTCTTAGGGACTTGCCTGTAACAAAAATGATGCAGTAGAATAATGTCTGAAGCTAAGGCAGAAAAGGCCTGTAATTTCAGTCTGGCCACAAAGGGAAGCCGTGCATAAATACTCATCAGGAGCCTCAGCTGTCTATAGTTTTTGAGTCACGCCATCTTGGAAACAGAAATAGGAAGAAAGAAGCCTTCAGATGATTCCAGTCCCCATCCTTTGAGTCTTCCCAGCTGAGGTTTCAGACATCATGGTGAGGAGAAAAACTGTGCAAAAAAGGATTAACCAGCAATGTGCATTGTCCACACCCTGCACATGCCAAAGAGAGGTTTGGTGCTTACCTGTTCATAGGAACTAACCTCTAAGCCCTAGAAAGAGCTTTACCTGAGAGCCTTGGGCTACACCAGATAATTCATACTATCAGTGTGGCTTATAGTGGGAGACTTGGGGCGCACCATGGCAGCTTTACTTCTGAAAGGGCTGGCGACTTAAGTCAGCCATTCATATAGTCAGTGTTGCCTATGTCTCCAACCCAAATAAAAACCCTATAAACAAAGACTTGAGTGAGCTTCCCTGATTAGTGACACTCAAAATGTGTTGTTACAAGTCACTGCTGGGAAAATTCAACACTGTTCACAATGACTCTACCCAGAAAGAATAAGTGAAAGTTTCTGCCTGGTATCTCCTGGATTGGGCCTTATGTACCTTTCTGCTTTTGCTTAATAAACTGTAATTGTGAGTATAACAATGTTTCTGAGTACTCTTGAGTTCTTCTACTAAATCATTGAACCCGAGGGTGGTCTTGGGAACCCACAAACATGTAAGACACCACCGTGGAGCCCTGTCTTACTTCCTGACCCACTGAATCTCCATGAGAATGACAAAAAATAAATGCAGGGGTACCTGGGCGGCTCAGTTAAGTGTCTGCCTTCTGCTCGGGTCATGATCCCAGGGTCCTGGGATCGAGCCCCACATAGGGCTCCCTGGTCAGCAAGAAGCCTGTTCACCCTCTCCCACTCCCCCTGCTTGTGTTCCCTCTCACTGTGTCTGTCAAAAAGATTAATAAAATCTTAAAAAAAATTAAAAAAATAAAAATAAATGCGTACCACCGGTTTCAGGGTGACCTGATAGGCAGCAATAAGTAAGTGGGATGTGGAACAGTAAACACAAGTTTGCTGCTCAATTTTATGAACTACTTAGAACCTTGTGGGTTGGGGCGCCTGGGTGGCTTAGTGGGTTAAGCTTCTGCCTTCGGCTCAGGTCATGGTCTCAGGGTCCTGGGATCGAGCCCCACCATTACTCAGCAGGGAGCCTGCTTCTCTCTCTCTGCCTACCTGTGATCTGTCAAATAAATAAAATCTTAAAAAAAAAAAAGAATCTTTTGGGTTATAATCTATGTTCTACTTAAAATAATTTGTATAAACATACGATTTACATATTCTCATTGCAATTTGGCTGTGAAGTTGATCCTTTGTCAGTTTTTTCCCCAAATTCTGATATCTCTCCATGCTGTATGTGGTATAAAGTAGTCCTCATAAATATTGAATAAACATATTTTAATATGTGTATTATTAAGCCTTCTCAAACCCACGTGAAGGCCTAGTGGAAAATAAATATATAAATAAACTCACTTGAGACTCAGACATTTTGTGGAGTCCTTATATACCATCAGAAAGTCTGCTTTGTTGTTGATTCTGGGCTCTCTTCTGAAGCTCTAGTTCAAGGTCTCTGGACAAGGATGCAATGCTGATCTTCGTACCTTCACTTTTTTCCTCATAGGAACTATTTTATCCCAGGAAGCCAGGACCTGGAGATTAGAGAAACTGTGTGAGTCTAACAGATTTTTCTGAGTTGTTTGAGTCCTTATTTGTATGTGTATGTGTATTTTAGACACACAAATGCATATATATATCTAAAATTATGTTTTCCTTAGGTGGTAGGTTAATATGATAGCTTAAGGAAAAAAGTAATGTGTATTACCTGATGACTTATTTTTCAATAAACATGATTATTTTATAATGAAGAAACAAAGCTGACATCACTAAATTATGTAATTTTGCCAAAACTGTACTCAAAACTAAATCTGCACTTAGAGAAAGACCATTACAAAGAAATAGGGGGGAAATGTCCAGTGAGAAAATTTTAAAAGCCTAAAAAATCCAGAGAAACAGGTATAAATACTGGGATACTGCTTGCTAACCTGTCTGGGGTATCTACTGTGTGATCTTTAAGTGTATAAGCAGTTAACACAGTTTATTTTTTGTTTTTGTTTAACAAATGGGAAAAGAGAGTCTCAGGGTGAGAAACTTGCTCAAGTTCACATGGTAAAGTGGCAGAATATGGATAAAAACCTTAAGGTCTGCCCAAATCCAAAGTCCATGTTCTTTTCTCTGAGTTAAACTTACCTGCAGGTCTTCTAACTGCTTACCTGGAAAACCTACAAGAATCAATTAGTAATTACATTAGAAATAAGAGTTCAGTAAAGAAAGGAAAGATTTTTTAAAATTAGCTTTCATATCTACCAGAAAATAAAAAATAAAATAACCTATTATTGAAGACCCTCAAAGACAAGAAAGGAAGCTGCCCCAAGCACTGAACTCCCTAGAAGCTACCCCTTCACTGACCACCCCCAAAAATCAATCACTGATCCCTCACTCCAAGTACATCCCAAACACCAACTTAAGCAAAGGACATCAAAAGCACGCAACTAGGGGCACCTGGGTGGCCCAGTGGGTTAAGTGCCTGCTTTTGACTGTGGTCATGATCTCTGGGTCCTGGAATCAAGCAAGAAGTTGGGCGCTCAACCAAAAAAACTGCTTCTACCTCTCCCTTTGTGATCTCTCTAATTGCGCTCAAATCTCTCTCAAATAAATAAATATAAAATAAAATCTTAAAAAAAAAAACCCCACACACTAAACTATGTACCAAAAGATGTCTCAATCACTGAACCCCAGCCTCCCAACACCACGAATATTCCCACCATGGACACTGGCATTAGTAAACCTTCCCAAGGACATCCTGATAAGTGACATGTTCCAACGATTCTTCAGTCACTGACCTCCAAGAATGCTCAAATTGCTGACATGCCCCTCAAGGCCGTCCTAAGGACTAATCTTCCCCATAATTCCTTTTCAGGCACTGTCACACCCTCCAAGACACCCACATTCCTGAGTTCCTTCAAGAACACCCCAAACATTGACCTCCCATCATTCTCAATCAGTGACCTTACCTGGAAGATGCCCCTATCACTGACCTCTTCCAAGCGCATCCAAATCACTGACCCACTGTCTCGGTAATGCCACTAACTGATTTGCCTCCAAGACCGTCCCAGTCACTGAACTCCCCTACAAAGCAATACCCCAAGCCCTAATACCTTTCTCCAGGCGACTCCAATCCCTGACCATCCCCAGGCCTGCACCATTTCTGACTGCCCCGCTCCCTCAATCACAGAATCCCATAACGGCTTACTTCTCGCACGGACAACCCAAGCCTCCCCTACCGTTAACTCCAAATCTCCACAAACCTCGCTCAACTCATTCCGCTGCCAGAAGGCGAAACAGAGACCTCTTAATAGAGCCTTCGTGCACTAGTTGGGTGGGTGGAAGGAGCCACGGCCCATCACTTCAGCTATTGTTCCACCTCACAAAGTTAAGTTTAACATCTGCGGCATCCCAGGCTACCGTCGACCAAACCACCAGCCCGGGGCCGTCCTTCCCCAGACAAAGATTCCACTCCGCTTCCGGTCTTTTAGACAAAGACCCTGTGAAACAGATTATGGCGGCGCCCACTTGGCCAATTTATAAGGGAGCCGCCATACTGGAAGACCGGTCGTACGACTCGTTTTTCTGCACGAGAGAACAGTACTAGTCCGCTTACGTCAGTTGTGAGCGACACAAAGGGCAGTGCACATGCTCCCGTTTCTATGGATGCTGAAGGTGCGCCAAGCCCAACGGCCAGTCGCCTCCGCTTTGCGGGCGGTGCATGCCAAGCAGCGAAACTTTACGGCGGGCGTGGCCATCTTGAAATAGGTGGACATGTCCGTACAAGAAAGGGAGTCGTCCTTCAAGGAGTGGAAACCATTGGAGCAACCTTAGGGAGTGCTTGTAGAGAACGGTATAGGGTTTCGAAAAGCCAATGTAGTACCACAAAGGCAGTAGGCACAGAGTAAACTAATTTAGTTTAAGGAAAAGTTGTCTTCTTGCTAGGCTTGGGTGGTGGTGGTTAGGTGACATCTTTTTATGACAGTCACATTGTGACTAACAAAGAATAACCAGACGCCAAAGAAGGAAGTAAGCCATTAAAGATGTTATCACCAGTCTTTACTCAAACCAAGGCATTACAAGAATGATAAGACCATAAGCTCCTGGTCAGTTTAAAGAAAAATTGTTGGTGGAGGCCCACTTTGGCAAATCAGGACCCCTCTCACTCTTGCGAGCTTCCCCTATATCTTTGCTTAATAAAACTCATCACTTTACTCACTCTCCTTTGTGAGATTCATTCTTCGACCCTGTGAGACAAGAACTTCATTCTCCTGCTTCAGTGAGGCCCTTCAGTTGTACATCAGCAGGCCATGTGCTTGGCAGATGATTGCTAATACACATCTTGGAGGGTAGAGATAAAGGAAGTTTCCAAAGAAGTTTTTATAAGTTAAAGGAGACTTACAGGGTCCTGGAGGTCAGGATAATGTTGAGCTAAGATTGCCTTTTGCTCTTACCAACGTATTAATATTGAGGCAGTTGAGTTCCTAGAGGAAGGTCACTCTGCCTTTTTCAAGGACTTGTCAATGGATGTAAGATTTAAGGAAATTTAATTTTTTTCTTTTGCCTTTGTGACCCACATCAAAAGCTATTGATGATGGACCTAAATATTACCCTCGCTTCACCCATGGGGGAAAAAAGGCCAAGTCTTTCAGAATGCCTATTTCTTCACTATCTCATCAATCTTTTAATCTTTGCCCATCTTAGGGGTGAATAGAAATCTTATCTCATGTATACCTGGGTGGCACAGTTGGTCGGGCGTCCAACTCTTGGTTTCAGTTTCACTCTTGGTCCAACTCTTGGTTTCAGATACTCTTTCCCTCTCCCTCTGGCCCTCCCCCCTCTTAAATAAATAAAATCTTGTTTTAAAAAAGATTTTATTTATTTATTTGACAGAGAGTGCACGCACAAGCATGGACAGCAGCAGGCAGAGGGAGAGGTAGAAGCAGGCTCAATCCTTCGGGACTCAATCCCAGGACCCTGGGATCATGACCCAAGCTGAAGGTGGATGCTCAATGGACTAAGCCACCCAGGTGTCCCTGAAATAAATAAATCTTTAAATAAATATCTTATTTCACTTTTTCTTTAATTTTATAAGTTGCTTGTTTATTTCCATTCCCCCCCACCTCGATTTTAAGTTGGTTATCTTTTTCTTAATCACATTGTGGGTATTTATAACTATTATTCTACCCTCATTCTCCTATATTAACAGACACCCTAGTTTGGGGCTATTTTAAATGCAGGTGCTATGAATTTTCTTGTGTTAGTCTTCCTAAGGACATATCATTTCAGTGGGCTTTTTGTTTATTTTGTTTTGTTTTAAAGATTTTATTTCTTTATTTGACAGAGAGCACAAGCAGGCAGAGGGAGAGTGAGAAGCAGGCTCTCTGCTGAGCAGGGAGTCTGATGCAGGGCTTGATCCCACCTGCGATCACGATCAGACCCAACTGAGCCACCCAGGTACCCCTCAGTGTTTTTGAGTAAACCACTGGGTTCTCAGTTTTAATTAATTTATTTACATAATCTGTACACCCAACATGGGGACTGAACACACAACCCAGAGATCAGGAGTCACACTCTTCTGACTGAGCCAGCCAGGCACCCCCATGGTTCTGTTTTATTTTGCAGTTCTCTTAAGCTTAAGAGTTACTTTTTTTTAAAGATTTTGATAGTTTAATATGGGTATACTAACAGTGGTTTTTTTTAACTTGGGGGCTTTATCCATAAATTTATCATAAAGGAAACTTCAGAACAACTTTTCCTGCAAATACAGTTCTCTACACGTAGGGATTTATTTTTCCTCATCTTCCAGGAGTTATATGTTAATTTCGGTTGGATTAGATTTGGTGTTTACATTATGACTATGTAAATACCATTTATAGTTTAGCCATGTAGTGTACTATGATTATTTTTCATTTCTTGTACAATTTTTAATTCTCCCTGGAGTTGTCTTATTTATTCCTCCCAGAAATTCTGGCCCTTGGTTCTCAGAAAGCCCTGCCTTGGCACTGGCTCCAGATGGGAGCCCGCTACCACGTATAAGTAACTTGCCACCTGGACATCTGCTTGGGACTGCTCTCTTCACCTTGCTGGGCGGGTGTGTCTCCCCGCCACCTCTCCAAAGGGAAGCTTAGTTTCTCCCAGTCCTTGTTTTTCACTTCCTTGGATGGCATTATCACTCTCCCTACCGTGAGAGCTTCTCCAGATATTTTGTTGTCCTCAAAAATCTTCCTCTTGGCCTCCATATCCAGTCTGAAGCATTCCCAGGGTATTTGTCCTTTGGCCTTTATGTTTGCTCTTTTTCCTCTGCTGAAAGACTTTTTAATTTTTGTACGGATACCTAACTTCTAAGATGTCTGCGCCCTCTGCGAAATTATTCTTCGTGCGTAGGGATTACTTTTCTCGCCAGCCCGCTGAGGCGGACTAGTCTACTCCATGTTTACCTTGTGTAAATTCAAGCTTCTAAAATCAGTGCAGTTTGCCTCGCAGGATTTAGGTGCGAGAAATGGGAGTATTTTCGGTAGGTTTTTACTGTTCCGAGCCTTACCTGGCTTTTCCGGCCAAAACGGCCACTTCGCCTTGTGTACGTCGATTACTGAAGGATGGCCGCCTAGGGGACCGGTGGCCAGATGGGCGCAGACATACTGACGCCCGGAAAAGCCGGAAGTCCAGGTTCTGCAGAAACGTCTCTGGCCCTCGTCAGCCGCCGTAGCTGGCGTGGAGTCCGGGCAGGGGCGCGGCGGGAGTATTCGCGGAAGTGCAGCCTGTGGGAGGGTGCGGTGGGGTCCCTAGAGAATCAGGTTTGTGTATGTTCCGGTTTGTGGAGCGGGATGAGAGGACCGAGGTATCTGTGGCTTCCCGGGTGGGTGGAGGCGTGGGGTCCGTTGGGGAGAGGAAGCAAGTGGGAGCCCGTGAGGGGCTGTCTGTGGGTGCGGTGGCTTTGGAGTCGGTGCTGAAGGATTGTGGGGGTCAGTGATTACAGGTGTGTGGAGATCCCCGTTTCCGCGTCCGTGGTCAGGGTTTGGTTTCTGTCTGTAGCGCCCGGTGACTGAAGACTAGGGAGGGGTGTGTTTTGTCAGTGAAAGTGCCGTCCGCTTCGGATTCGGGTTTTACCCTGCGGCTCCAAGACGAGCTGGGGCGCACGGTCAGCGAATCCTGGTGTGTCGGGATTATTCCGGGGGTCTGGGAGGTCCTGGTGTGTCGGCTCTTGAGAGGTTTGTGACGGCTGAGGCAGGTTGGTGGGTGGGTTCAGGTCCCAAGGTTTCTTTCTCTCCAATCCAAGCCCCTAAGTTTGCTTTTGACTTTACACGTCTTCTTTCGACCCCGCAGTTACGAGAGCTTTGTTGGAGATAGAGGATTAAAGATGACCCAAGTGGTTTCTACGAAAGATGAGGGTTTTGCCCTTTCTGCAGGTTTGGTCTGTGGACGCATTTGCACACCCACTTGGAAATGTTTCTTTTCGGTGCCATGGTAACGCAAGTAAACTAACATTGCTGTTACCCCAGTTCTGTTCCCCAGGGGTAATACTTGTTAACCTTTTTCATTTATTTCTCCTTCAGTCTTTATTTTCTTATGTTTCACAATTCCCATAACCTGCTGAAATGCTGGCATAATTTGCCTTAATAGTTTATGTCATAAATATGATATAATAAAGTTTTTTCTTTAAAATGTTTCTTTTAAATTCTGTTACAGTATATATTGTCAGGAGGCAAATCTGTGCCGTTATGACTGGAATCACTTAATCTCTGCATTCATCTAGGTAGAATTAAAGACGTTTATGTTTAAGTAATCTCTTCACCCCTGGTGCGGCTCAAACGCATAACCTTGATATCAAGAGTAGCATGCTCCACCGACTAAGCCAGCCAGGTGCCCCTAGATAGAATTTAAATACTTAAGTATTCAGTTATTACCTTTGAAAGCAGATTATGATTATCCATTTACCCATACATGTGGTTTCCTGTCCCTCCTACCCATCTTGATCTTTAATTTTTTTGCCATTGTGAATGGTGTCTTTTAACTTTTTGTTCTCTTTTGATTTACTGTCTCTTAGAAGAGCGATTACATCAAAAATACTTATTTTGTTTCTGCTTACTTCACTGAATTCTTAGTATTATGAGCTTCCCATTCCCTATCATTTTGATTAGAACGTTCAAACATAGTTTAAAGAGTTTTACATTTGAACACCCTTTATACCTAACACTTAGATTGTCATCATGATTTTGTTTCCTTTATTCTATATCTATCCATATATCACTTCTCAATCATTAATCTACCTTTTTACAATTTTTAACATGTATTTCAAAGTAAATAGCAGGCATTTATATGTTTCTCCCTGAATGTTTCAGCAAGCATATAATTAGTTCTACCTGTAGCAACTACTAATGCTTCTGTCTCTATAGATTTGCTTGTCCTGGACATTTCATATAAATGATGCAAATGCAGCCATATGCTATGTGCACTTTTGTGATTGGTTTCTTTCACTTAATGTAAGAGGGTTATCCATGTGGTAACATGTATTTGTACTTCATTCCTTTTTTATACCTGAATAATACCCCATTGTGTGGATATAGCACATTTTGGTTGTCCTTTCATCAGCTGAAGAATATTTGGGTTGTTTTGGGTTGTTTCTGCATTTTGGCTGTTATAAATAATGCTCCTATAAACATTTGTTTACAAACTTTTAAAAAAATTACAGTGTAATTAACATAGTGTTATTTAATTTGTACAATATGGTAATTCAGCAGTTCCATATATTACTCAGTGCTGATCAAGGTAAGTA